TGTACAGGCTTTACCATAAAATACCCAAGGGATTGGAACCGATTGCTAATACATTCAAGCAGGTCTGGCTTTCTACTTCCTCTTTTCTGCAGGTTGAGTGGGCTGATCTTTTCATTTTTCTCTTTTGCTTACACTTTCTGAGAATGTACTTTTGCAGCATGTCACTACTGAGTGTACTGCTCTCTTTCGACAAGCTAAAGATGCTGCAAGTAACCAGGTAAAGTATGGCGTTTTTATTTTTTCCTGATAGTAATATGAAGAATGCTGCACTTGATACCATGCTAAGTTTTCTCTATAAATAAATTACTTTTTTGCTATTGTTTCTACGGACAAGTATTTTTACTTATATCAGAAATTAAAATATCAGACATTTGCCACAACTGATAATCTTATTTTCTTCCTTAGGCTACAACTTCTTCTGGTGCCCCAGAGCAGGTGAGTGTACAATGTGCTGTGTCCTGCGGTTTCTTTTGGAAAATTTTGAAGATTTCCAAAGTTGACGTGATTGTTATCTTCAGGTCCTCATCAGGAAAATAATTGAATTGCATGATAAGTACATGGCCTACGTGACTGATTGTTTTTCAAACAACACACTCTTCCACCAGGTTTGTGATGGAGAATAATGCTAAACTGGTTACTTGGATCTTTTCCATGACTTTATCTTAATGTGCTTTTAAAAACCTTTCAATAGGCTTTGAAGGAGGCTTATGAGGTCTTTTGCAACAAAACTGTTGCTGGCAGTTCTACTGCTGAACTTCTGGCAACTTTCTGTGATGATACCCCCAAGAAAGGTGGAAGTGAGAAATTGGGTGATGAAGCTATTAAAGAAACACTGGAAAAGGTAGCTAAATTAATTTTTTTCTTATCAAACTAACGGTGATTTTTTTTACTTTGATCTGACAAGCTTTCCTTATTTCTAAAGGTGGTTAAACTTCTTATGTATATCAGTGATAAAGATCCTTTTGCTGAGTTCTACTGGTAAGACCTCTTTGCTATTCCTTTTTCAAGTTTCAGTTATTATATAGGATGGATATTTCAATTTCATTTGATGGAATCCTAGAATTTTAATAACGTTTGGTACTTAATGTATCTCTCCAACTCTTTACAGGAAGAAGCTTGCTTGGCGTCTACTTTTTTACTGTAGTGCTAATGATGATCATGAAAGGAGTATTCCGACTAAGCTGAAGCAGCAGTGTGAGGGACAGTTCGCATCCAAGATGGAGGGCATGGTAAGCTTGCTCCACATTTTATGCTTTATTACTTATCTGTAGTGTAAATTTATCTATTATTATTTATATATTTCTATTGAATCCATCATTTATTCTCTTCATTGTATCAAAAAGGGGTGTCTAATCCTTTAATTATAAGAAGACCTATTATTTCCAGGAATACATGTATCTTCACTGCATATCTTTCTGAGAATTTTTGAAATCTTAGGTAGCTATAAACGAACCTTGTTTCCCAGGCCTGCATAATCTACTTGCTTATAAAAGTGCATTGCAGTTGGTAATATATTTGGCTCTGATCTGATTCAGGTTCTCTGTTTCCTGTTTCGAAGCTATTTTGATGCATGAAAAATTCTACTGCTTTATTTGAGATTGGTTGTTATTTTTGTAGTCCCATTTTTTATCCTTGAGTCTTGTGGGAAATTCTTAATGGTTTAATTATTTTACCATCAGTAGGCCATAAAAAAATTACTTTACTATCAATAGATAAAAGGTTAAAATATCTGCCTATGTGTCCCGTTACTTAACGGGAAAAGGATGACATGTAAAAGCATTTTGACACCTATGATGTACAACGTGGCAAAAAAATAGGATGGCAAGAAAAGACCTTAAAAAATTTCTTTTTTTTTTTTTCTTTGTTTTTCTTTTTCCCCTTTTTTCTTCCTCTCCCTTTCCTTTCACCTTCTGCAAATCCTAACACCTCCTAATATTAAATCTGAGGATAATACAACAAATCAACAGATCGAACTCAATAGATCCTTCGATCCAACTGCAGCTGGGTTGGAAACAGAACCCAGCGCTTGCTGGGTTCGAAATCGAACCCACCCAGCACCTGCAAGAATCTGAGGATAACACAATGGACAACAAATCCATAAATAGATTGAACTCAACAGATCCATCGACGCAACGGTTGCTGGGTTCAAAACAGAACCCAGTGCCTACTGGGTTCAAAATTGAACCCAGCACCTACAGGAACCCAACGGCTGCCTTGCCTTCTTCATCTTCATCAATCAATTTCTCATCATAATCAAACAACAAAACCCAAACAAAGAAAACAGAATTTTTTTTTTATTTTTTGCCCTTGGGTTCCACCGAACCCAGGCATGCTGGGTTCCATCGAACCTAGGACCAGGGTTCGATGGAACCTAGTGTTGGCTCAATGTACTCCAAGAGAGGGGTGAATTGGAGTTGAAAATTTTTCACATTTTTGCAACCACCAAACAAAAATCAAAGAGAGAGTAGGGAAGAAGAGCTTGCATAATAATTTTATAGAGGTTCGGTCCAACCACTTGGAACCTAGTCCTCTACCATGGCTTCATTCACCAAGGATTTTATCCACACTTTCCACTATCAGGAGCAAGGGTGACTTAAGGGAGCCACTTAATCCTTTTACATGAGTATTTCTCTCAAATCTCACTCTTTTATAAGATAAACCCAAACAATCCTCTCTACAAATCACTCTTGAAGGAATAATCACATCCCCAAGATCACTCACAAATAGAATAAGAAGAGGATTATAAGGAAAGATCTCTCAAAGATCAAATATTCAAGTTAAAACACTAGTTAGTAGGTAGAGATATTCAATACAATGCTCTCTAAACCTGTTCTAGGTTTGCTACCAACCATATTTATAGTCACATGGTCGAAAATAGCCGTTACTAGCCATTGGGGGTCATTTAATGCTCTGCAGGTCGCTTAATTCCAGTTGCAGAATTGTCAGCACAGTCGGTTTACACTTTTAGAGCCGGCTCTGCACAGCCGGCTTAACTTTTCTACAGCCGGCTCTGTGGGTTTCTTGCATTCTGTTTTCTCTAGAGAGCCAGCTTAAAAATTCTGCAACCGGCTTTGCGGGTTTCCTGCACATTCTGTTTTCTTACACAGTCGGCTGCAAAGTCTAAAGCTGGCTTTGGGATTCTAACTTTAAAAGCATTAAATAATCTTCAAATAACTCGACCGTTGCGCATTAAATGCGCCCTCACAGCAGGCTGCAAAGTCAAAACCGGCTTTGCGTTTGTTTGGCGCACGCGGAAAACAACGAACTTGAAATTCTCACCCGTGGAGCCGGCTCTTAAAAGCTGCAGCCGGCTCTCTGCATTTTTGCCATCCAGAGTCGGCTGCACATTTTCTTAAGTTGGCTCTCTGCATTTTTCAGCCTTTTGGTCCATTTTTAATGCAATCCAAGTTTACTTACTTTGCAATCTTTTGACAATTTAACTACACACTCAAATGAATCAATTAGTCACTCAAATGTATTTTGTAATCATAAAAATCATAGGTACAACACCCAGGACATGGGTTCGATGGAACCCAGGGTTGGGTCCCAAGGAACCCAGGCATGCTGGGTTCCAAGGGGAAAGAGAAGGGGAAGGGGAAAGAGAAGGAAAAAGAAAAAAAAAAAAATTTAAGTTTTATTTTTCATAATATTTTTTCCATGTCATCACTTTTTCTAGTCTTATTGTCTTCCACGTGTATTAATATTTGACATGTCATCCTTTTCCCCATCAAGTAACGAGACACATAGGTGGATATTTAACGGAAGGACCAAATTGGGGTTAAAATGGTAAACAGTAGGGACCAAATCAAGGATTTTTTTAGTTTAGGGACCAAATCGGGGTCCGTACAATTGTTCAGGGACCAAAATGGGGTTTTAACCTATATAAAATATGAGTGTTGGTAAGAAATAAAAAGATTTAACTGTTGAATTTTTTGTTGTTAGTGTAGTTGACTTGTTGCTCATTGTTCTTTTTTCTTTCCATCTTCCACTTTACTAGGTGTTGCCATCTTTAGCAGAGAAAGATGATGAGTTCATGCTAAGGGAGCTTGTTAAAAGATGGTCGAATCATAAAGTCATGGTCTGGTGGCTGTCGCGATTCTTCCATTATCTTGATAGGTACTTCATTGCTCAGAGATCACTTCCTGCACTTAATGAAGTTGGATTAACATGCTTCCGTGATCTGGTATGTGATGACTTCTTTTTGTATCTAATATTAATGTTATGTGCTAGTTTGAGTTGGATTTGAATATGCTTCTTTTTGTTTCAATTATCCTGTTGACTCATTTCATGATACTGCTTTTCCTAATTTTAGGTATACAAAGAAATAAAAGGTAAAGTCAGAGATGCTGTAATTATCTTGGTGAGTTCATGCCTTGTATCTTTTCAGGATTGTAAGTCTTATTTTGAATAAGAAACGAAGTGTAAGAATTGCTTGGTGGCAGATTGACAAAGAACGTGAGGGAGAACCGATAGACAGGGCACTACTGAAGAATGTGTTGGATATTTTTGTTAAGATTGGCATGGGACATATGGAACGTTATGAAAAAGACTTTGAAGAACCCATGCTCAATGCTACCAGTGAGTACTATTCACGTAAGGCGTCCAGCTGGATTTTGGAGGATTCTTGTCTGGATTACATGTTAAAGGCAACACTCTCTTCATATGCCTTAGTTGGATTGTGATCATATGTATTATTTATTTTGATATTCTAACTTCTCTTATGCTTTTGGAAATTTCAGTCTGAAGAATGCTTGAGGAAGGAAAGGGAAATAGTGTCCCATTACCTGCATTCAAGTAGTGAACCGAAGTTAGTGGAGGTTAGTTAAAATATATGGAAATTTGTGGGCCCTTTAATGTTAAAATATTATTATTAGAACTTTAAATTTGTATTGGAGGTACTTTCTCAAAAGAATTGAAGTCTTCTAAACATACAAC